ATTTTATAATTTTAGGTATTTTTACCTCAATTTTCTGACTGAAACCTTTTCTGTTTCCTACATCCTTCTGTGTAGGTTCAGTGGTCACCTCACAATGAGACTATTTTGGCTTCCAGTGGTACTGATCGCAGACTGAATGTCTGGGATTTAAGGTAAGTCTTGTTTTATTCTTTGTGGAGTTATGTTTGTTTGTTTCTACTTTCCAAAATTACTCAGGATAAATTTAACTTTTAAAAATCTTTTTATGGTAGTAAAATTGGAGAGGAACAATCCCCAGAAGATGCAGAAGATGGACCACCGGAGTTATTGGTATGTTACAAACATTGAGCAATTGAAATCATCTGTAACTTAGTATCCTCTATCTCCTTGTTTATGTCTTTATTTTTCTCCCTCCTTCAGTTTATTCATGGTGGTCATACTGCCAAGATATCTGATTTCTCCTGGAATCCCAATGAACCTTGGGTGATCTGTTCTGTATCAGAAGACAATATCATGCAAGTGTGGCAAATGGTAAGTATTTAGTCATTTGGGGGAGGTTAAATAAATGTGTGGTATCACTTCATATTTTTATGCTTCATGAATACAGCTGGCATCTCTGTTCAATTTACTCCTGGTGTGACCTTAGTACTTGTCTATACATTATCATTTTCAACTGCCTACTCTTTACCTTCATCTGCTTATCCCACTGGTATCCCAAATGCAACTAAACAAAACTGAACTTTTCTTCTTTCCCCCTTCTCCCTATCCCTCTTTCCTCCTGACTTTGACTGTGGCATTTCCCCAGCTCACCAGACTTGAAAACTCAGGAGTTCTCCATTGCTGTTCATCTCTAGGTCTAGTTCACTTATCAGATTTTATATGGCCTATCTCTGCAATGTTTCTTCCGTCTATACTCATCTTACGAATACATACCCAACTTTCCTGGTTCTATTCCACACCAGTTTTTTGTCATATTCTCATTATCACTTGCTGGACTGTTGTAGCCTCCTAATTTTTGGCTTGCCTCCTGTTTCTCCCTCTTTGCTAGCATTTGGATCTCTAGGCATGCATGGTCATTTCCTTGAAGTGACCTGTGAACATGCCAGCACAGTGTCACAGCATCAAATACTACCATTTCTCTATGAAACCTTACTGAATTTCAAAAACATTCCCTACCTTTATACTGCAATTGGAGGTGATCACCTTTCATTGAATTTTCAGAGCACTTGGAATTTAATAAAGATAACTAATGTCTAATATATAACAATATAAGAAATAGTTGCGTTCTGGAGATGGGTGGTGGTGGTGGTGGTTGCACACAAGGTGAATAAATTTATTGCCACTGAGCTGTATATTTAAAAAGTACATTTTATGTTCTGTGTATTTTACCACAATTAAAAAAAAAGTTATTGCATAACTTTTGAATAATGGTAGCCTGATAAATGAAAATAATTCAGAAGAAACTTTTGGTGTCTAGGGGTAGATCTAGAGCCAGGAATAAACTCCGGGGGGGGGGGGTCTTTGGCTCGACATGAGGAAAAACGTATTTGTGGCCTATGAGATTAACAAATTATACACGATATCCATACTTTGGAATAGTATGTGTCAAAAAGAAGGATGCTTGCTTTTATAAGATAGTCATGACTTACTGATAAGTAGGGAAAAAGCAGATTGCAGAATAGCATGGTGGAATCCCTCGGTAGATAAAATGATGTATATCTAGTCTTATGTTTAATTATATGTAAGTATTTATTTAGAAGTCTGTTTGCCAAAATATGGTTGATACATTTAGGGAGCTATTGATTTCTTCTTTATACCCTTCACAGATGTGTTGCATGTATAAACAGAAAATCCAACTCAACTTTTTCCTTATTATACACACCCCAGAAAATTAATATAAGAAGTTAAGACTTATAACAGAAAGGTGAAATGGGCTGCCTTGAATAACCTCTCAAAGGTATTTTAGTAATTGCCGTGGGAGTTTTGTAGGAGATTGAACTACATACGTCACCTTCAAGGCCATCACCTCCAGGCCAGGTTCTACGTTACTCAGTTTGTGTGGTTTTTTTTAGAATTGTGGTATAAGAAGTAAATATTTGGTCTTTGTTCAGGTTCCTGTCACAGAGTTCCTAAAACCCTTAGGATTTCCTGAGTGGTAGGAGTCTTACTATTTTTCAATTACAGTTGACATAAAATATTATATTAGCTTCAGGTATACAACATAGTGATTAGACATTTATGTAACTTACAAAATGATCATCCTGATAAGTCTAGTACCCATATGACACCATAATAGTTACTACAAGAAGTCTCTTGCTATTTATAAGGATTCCCTTTTTGGCCCCACCTGAGTTTAGGCTAAGGAGGTGACTTAAGGGCCCCCTGGATACAGCCTCAGAATGGGGCTGGTCTCCAGAAAGACCAAACATTTGATTGGAAAGTTGGAACTTGAGGTTCCAATCACCCGCAGATAACAGGGATTGAGCTCTATAAAAGACTCTTGGGAAAGCTCTATAAAAATCTGATTTGATGAGCTTCCGGGTTGGTAAATAACATTGATGCCACCCAGAGGGGACATGGAAGCTCTGTGCTACCTCCCCATCTTGCCCTATGCATCGCTTCCATGTGGCTGTTCCTGAGTTCTAACCTTTACATTAAACCAGTAATAGTAAATAAAGCATTTTCCTGGGTTCAGTGAGTCAGTTCAGCAAAGTATCAAGCTGATAGGGGGGTTTGGGGAACCCCCAAGCTTAAAGCCAACAAGTTGGACAGAAGTACCCAGGTAGCAGGTTGTCAGGGCTCATCACTGGCCTCTGAAGTCTCTTGTGAGACCGAGCCTTAGTCACATTCCTTAGACCTGTGGAATCTGATATTAGCTACCTCTTGATCGTATCAGGATTGAGTTAAATAGTTGGACACCCAGTTGGTGTCAGAGAATTGGTGTCAGGGAAACAGACACTACACATTTCATTGTCAGAAAACATCACACAATTGTGTGCATTTCCTTACAGTCAGATCACAGTTTCTTTGAAGACAAGTCTCTCATCCTGTGTAGTGCTTAACCTAGTGATTTGTGCATAGTAGATGATAAGAACAGTAAATTTTACCCACATGGAAGTGATTTTGGTAGTTAACATTATGCCTTTGGAAACAGGTATTTCATCAAGAAATAGAAGTAGAGTTTATTTTATGCAAGAGCAGTTTTCTTTTTAAAATATTTTTAAATTGAGATTTGGAACATAATGGTTTAGGTAGAGGGTGGGGTTTCTCTTTTCTTATGCACAATTCAGTGATTTTTAGTACATTCACAGTCAATTAATGCCAAAAAGAAACCCCATCCCATAACCACCCATTAGCCATCGCTCCGTTTTCCTCCAGACTACCCAGCACTAGGCAACCACCAATCTACTTTCTCTGTGAATTTGCCTATTCTGGACATTGTATATAAATAAAATCATACAATAGGCTAGTGGCTTCATTTTTACTGCCAAATAATATTCCATTGTATGGATATATCCGTTTTTTATCTACTTATCAATCGATGGACATTTGTGTTGTTTTTTTGTTTTTTTTAGCTGAGCCATCCTGCCACCTGTTGGCAGCTCAGCGGCAGCTCAACTCCGGCTGGACTCGAACCGCTATTGCTCAGAGCTCAAACCTTTGAGCAAGCTTTTAACCAACTGAGCCACTCAGCCGGCCCTTTTGTTATTGTTCTTGCTGAGCCTTCCTGCCACCTGTTGGCAGCTCAGCAGCAGCTCAGGTTGGGCCTGGACTTGAACCACTGTTGCTCAGAGCTCGCACTCTTGAGCGAGCTCTTAAACAACTGAGCCACTTGGCCGACCCTGTGTTGTTTTACTTTTTGACTCTTATGAATAATGTCTGGCTAAAGGACTCAAAGAAGGTTGATTATCAAGACAAACAATAATCATACTTCAGTTTTGTGGGAATGTTCTAACCCAGGGGTTAGCCTGTGAGCCAGCTGTCCGTGTTTATTAGAACACCATTCCCATTTGTTTGCAGAGTGTCTGTTGCTGCTCTCACCCAACAATTGCAGAGTTGAATAGTTGCAACAGAGACTATATGGCCCATAATCTGTCTCTCTGGCCTAATCTGTTTTTGAAACCTTACTTCAAGAACTTGCCTTCATGTTTACTAAATCCCCTTTTCTCTTTTTCTTGTTTTTGGGCAGGCAGAGAACATTTATAATGATGAAGACCCTGAAGGAAGCGTGGATCCAGAAGGACAAGGGTCTTAGATATGTCTGCACTTCTTGTGATTTTAGACTCCCCTTTTTTTCCTCTCAGCCCTGAGATTGATTTAACACTGGTTTTGAGACACAGACTTTGTTCAGCTATCCCTCTATAATAGGTACCATCAACAGTGCTGTTAACCCAAATGGAGGGTGTTTTCTAATTATTAACTGGGGGACTTGATTCAGTAAAGCCACCGACTTATATTGAAATTTTCTTCAGGAATTTTCTAGTAACAGAGATCTAAAGTAGCCACCGAAAGGGGAATATTGTGTGTGGTTATTTTATTTTTCTTCTTATATCCCCAAGTTTTTCAAACTCTTTAAAGACTAGAAGTAAGGAAGGAATAGAGCCAAGTGAGGTAGGTGTCTGAGCCATGAAGTATGAGTACTGCAAAATGTCATTCTTATTCAGGAAATAGGGGAGATTTCAAGTCATAAATTCCTATTCTAAAATCTTTACACCTGACTTTCCAGGATGCACATTTTCCTATGTAGACCAGTCTCCTCAGTTTCTTGAGTTAAGTCAAAGCTACGTGTTCTTCTTTCCCATATATTTTTGCTTGTTAGTGTATTTCTTGAGCTGTTTTCATATTATTTCTTTCCTTTCTGTGAAATGGTTTTTTAAAAGAACTTGGGACCACCAAGTTGTAAAGATGTATGTTTTTACCTGACAGTTATACCACAGGTAAACTGTCCAGTTAAGTTGAGCAGAGTGAATTGATAGCCTGTATTTGTTTTTAAAATTAAATTAATCCTGGATAAGAGTTGCTTTTTTTTTTTTTTTTAGGAGTTAGTCCTTGACCACTAGTTTGATACCATCTCTATTTTGGGTGACCTGTTCACCAGCAGGCCTGTTACTCTCCATGACTAACTGTGTAAGTGCTTATAATGGAATAAATTGCTTTTCTACATAACCCCATGCTGATGGGTTTTATTTAGTATATAATATCAATCAAACACCAGTCTGGCTTCTAGAATTCTTTGGATGACAGTTATTTTCTGTAGTCTCTGACTATCAAGAACAGATTTAAATATAATAGACCCAGAGCTATAGAAAAGAGCTTTACTCCTTTCCAGGGAAAGTAAAAGACAAAACACGGAATCAGAGGTGCACAGATTAATCTTTGATAAAATAACATCCTTTTGAAGTCTGTCCCTAGAGAACTGTAATACATGGACTTGCAAGAATGTCAAAGGCAATGTGGCAGATTTTAAGGCAAAATTTAAATTTGGAAAAGGTGTTTGAACCTTTTCTCAAAGAGTTTAAATCTCTCCAGTATGTTTTTCACTGGGGCCTATACTTAGAAGTTAGACATAATAGGCACTTGAAAGCCTGTGTACCAAGTGCCATAACCAGGTAAACTGCCCGGTTCTTTGCCAATCACTCAGTTTAACTGAGTAGATCATACTGACCCAAAATCATTTTCATAAGGTATGATCTTCAGGGAAAGCAGTATCCTTAATCGCTAGGTTCAACTCTGGATGGGTTCCTTTTAGAGTATAGTGAAAATTATCTTGATACAAGAGTAAACTATGAGCATAGATTTCAAGAAAAGCAAACTTTGTAAAAGGATTCATTTAAAGTCCAACACTCATTTCACAAAAGAATTCAAATTGTAAACCCATTTAAATGAAAATTGGCTGCCTTTTTTACCCCACCTGTGCTCCAAAAAGTGTTTTTGGTTTAGGTCAACACACGGCAAGATACATTCTTCACATCACTTCAAGGTGTGTCCATACATTCATCCTTAACTGCATGTGAGGGTTGCCGCTGGAGGATAGGAGGCTCATTTTTCTGTTCCTCTGTTTGTTGAAATCAGTACCAGCAGTCTGAAATACAATCCCGCTAAGAGCTGACCGATGGTGTTCTGCCTCCAGCCAGCCCTAGAATCTTTTTAAACAGGTCAGCCAGTATTTGTAACTTTCCCAAGATGAATTGCTTGCCAAGTCCCTGGCACTCCCTTCTCTGGAAAAAAAGTGTGTCCAAAGGGTACTTGGTGATCCTTGGCTAAGAAGTTTTTTTGGTGGTTTCTGGGTTACAGATTCGGCCATATGTTTCTAAACAGCCCCTGTAAGGTTGAGAGAAAAAAGAATTGTTTATACTTTCTTCAACTTGAAATAATACAGTATAATGTTTATAACAGTGAAATTCTGAAGTTTAGTGCGGGCTTTGTCGGAGGGATTGCTAGACTGATTTACACATGATCCCCTAGCATGTTTGGGTGCCTCCTATTTGTAAAACAATGGTAAGTGATGTGATGATGGGGAGGGGTTAGCTAAAATTTTCTCTGTCCAGGTTAAGTTTACAAAGGTATTACAATGCCTGAAATTCAGTAGCTTGGTTTCTTTGAATCATTGCCTTTTCCCTATTGTACTTTTAATCTGATCCATGCAGAGGTGTTTAGCAGATCATTTTCCTCAATTACAAGGTTCTAGTAATCTCCCAATCAGCGTAATCAGTTATGCCTGGATAAAAACACAGTCCAGTCCTAGTGAGTTAGAAATAGCATCAGTTATAGTAGTTATTTGTGATTTTGTGTCCAAGATGTAAGATTAGGAAATTAAGAATAAAATTTATGGGCGTCTGGCTAGCATACAACTTGACAGAGACCTTCTCTAGCTTTAATTTCTTTATCCAAGAGAATCTAGAACTTGAATATAAGAACATACTGGTATATAAAGAAATCAATGGACAGGTGTGTTGCTTGTTTTCACATCTTAAGCAATAACCTTGTCCCTCAGCCTATAAATAACACCCTCTTCAGCTTTTTTTGTATTACTGTTACAGATTAATTTAGCCTTCTTTTGCCCCTTTAGGTCATAGTCTGAATTAGGTAGCATAACTACTGTCTGCTATTCTAAGGAAACTGAATAGCAGATGGGGTAAAATAGGGGGAGGAAAGTAAGAATGCACAGAGCCTAGATAGATGTTTTATCCCGTTACAGAATTCCTGATGATAATTAGGGCATGTTTTGATTCCTACCAGAAACTGAAACATTCCAAATGAACCCTGAATACTTGAACCAGGCGATTTGGAGGTATCTGTTATCCCTAAATGACTTACTTGTCATTAGACACACATTTAAATTCTTTTAAGGCATTAGTATTGTTAAGAAAACAACAACGCAAACACACTTTTGTACCCACAAGGATCACCTTGGGACTGTGTCTCGATTCCACCTGCCTGAGAAGTGGGAGCGTTAGCCTGTTCCAGGTTTTTGGATTGCATAGCCCTTTAAAAAAAAAAGAACCATTTTCCATCTGTTCATGGATGAGCACAATTTGAAAATCATTTCCCAAAATATTTTTTTTTCTTCTTCTTCTTCACTGTTGTAAGTGAAAATTTCCCAAACAGCATCTGCCCTTCCCACCATCCCCTCCAGCCAGTTAGTTGAGATTTGGGTAGCAGCAAAAACTGACTTATAAGTGGAGAGCTCTTTAGCAAGGCTGATCCTTAGCTGCTCCATCTCTTTGTTCTTCCGTTGCTGGAGTTGCACCCCACTTCTTAACTGCCTCTGTCGTTCTTCCATTTCCTCCAGCTGTTCCTGCATGAGGGCCAAGAACATTTCTAATGAGTCAAACAAAAATATAACATTGTACATTATAGTTTACAAAGCACTTTCTTGTATATTGTTTAATCTTCATAGCAGTATTGAGGTTGAGAAACATTCACGAGGCTATGTTTTGACAAAGTGACATTCCTTTTGAAGATAGTGACCTGAAAGGAGTCTTGTCTGTTATCCACAGCTTACTTCTTAATAGAATATTGCAAGGGGTGGACAGGTACTCAGAGGCACTTTTTAGTTTCACAATTTTAAGAAGTATTGGGGAGGATTTTGATCCTCTCGATGGTGAGCTGAGAATTTTATAGACCTTTTGCTCTTTGTGCAAGTTTGTTTCCATTAAGACTGAATTTGTTCAAAATGTTTAGTTGGAAGAAGGTGCTATGCCCTGGAGGCCCTCAGGAGCTTTCAGATAACTGTCCATTTCCCGTTCTGCCAAAACCAGGCTGGATGCAGTCTGTAAATTGTCTGCCTTGGATTAATGCCTGAGGCATGAGGTAAGGAAGATGTCAGCAAATCAGTCAGGCTTAGTTGCTAGCTGGCATGATCCTTAGGAAGCAGAAGGGAGTTGGGAAGGAGACTTGAAGTTGGAAGGCATATTTTAAAGGGGCAATGATTTCACCTCCGATTTTGAAGAATACTAAGGAATCCAGTTTGTGTACATGCTATTAAAAGGATCTAAATAATTTGTTCTCTGAGTCATCCTTGACAGACCCATAGCACATCAATCTGCAACGTTTGATACTCTGGCTGAATCTCCACTTACATAAACATTGTCAAAAGACCTTTTTTTAGTGCCTAGCTATGCTCTGGCACCACACAGAGATGCAGCCTTGCCATCTAAGAGCCGGTCATCTGAAGGGAAGCATCTGCATACCTCTGTGCCCCAATTTCCCAAACCCCACTAACCTGCTACTTTGGTGAGGCACAAAGGTACACGCTTGGGAAGGCAGTGTACACCATCAGTGGTCTGACGCGAACTGGCACAGAATGAAGGAGGTACTGCTACCTTGACGCATTCAGGACAATCTCCAGTCTCAATCCTGTGCAGCACCACTAGATTAATCTTCTAAAAACTGCTTCGTCATCTCAATCTTTCAAAGGCTGTCCACTTTCTTTGGTCTGACATTCAGACCCCCTCTAATTTGACCCCTACCTCTAACTAGAACCTCCACATGAACAGTTTCTTCTAACCTGCACTGTCAGGTATGAAGTCAGTAGCCACATGTGGCTATTGAGTACTTGAAATACAGCTAGTCCAAGTTGAGATGTGATACAAATGTAAGATAAACAGATTTCTAAGACTTGGCACAAAAAATACTTCAAATTTTGATGCTGATTACTTGTTGAAATATTTTTATACGCTGGGTTAAATAAAAATATTTCACCTGTTCCTTACCTTTTCTAGTGTGGCTACTAGAAATTTTAAATGACATCTGTGGCTTGCATGATACTTCTGTTAGTGGTGCTCTAGCCTGACCGACTCAGATGTCTGTGCCTTTGCTTCTCGCACGTGTGTCACCTAGACAGCATCTGCTGTGTTACGTTACTATTTATCTTTTAAATTCATATCTAACTCCCAACCATATTGAAGGTTCCTGGTTATTAGTACATCTAGCACCCTACACAATGCTCTCTGATATGAAACATGCAGATAGTAGGCATATTCCATATTTCAGCATTAGCAATCTACCAATTCCAAGTTAAAAACATTCTCGGGCCAGCCGGGTGGTGCAGTTGGTTAGAGTGCAAGCTCTGAGCAACAGGGTTGCCAGTTGATTCCCACGTGGGCCAGTGAGCTGTGCCTGAGCTGAGCTACTGGATGGCTCAGCTGGTGAGAGCACATGCCTCTTAACAAGGTTGCCAGTTCCACTCCCACATGGGATGGTAGGCTGAGCCACCCCCTGCAATTATAGATTGAAAGTGGTGACTCGACTTGGAGCTGAGCTGCGCCCTCCACAACTAAGATTGAAGGACAACGACTTGACTTGGAGTTGATGGGTCCTGGAAAAACAATGTTCCAATTCCCCAATAAAATCTTTTTAAAAATAAATAATAAAAACATAATTCTCAGCAAATTCCTCACCCTACCCACTGCAACCAGTCACCATATCTTACTCATTTTACCTCCTAAGGTCTATGGTCTTTCAGGCTTTTTCAATATACCCACCACACTGCCACTTTCAAGAGTAATATCTATGTGCCAGGCACCATTGCAAGTGCTTGACATAGTTCATTCCTTGCAGCGGCTCTGTGATGTGTATTACATATGGGAGCAGAGCCAAAGGGGTTAAGTAATTTGTTCGGTTTCCCAGTTAGGATGTGGTAGAGCCAGGATTTGCCATAGGCTTAAAGCTCATATTTTTTAACTGCTTTTTTGCTTGCATATATGTAGGCTCTTTAGTGGTCTTTAAACTTTTGCCCATGAAGCCCCAAGACTCAGCCAAAATGGAGTGGTGTTGCCACTCTTAATTAGAAAGTAACTCCACTTTTACCTGTTATATAATTGGCATTCCATTTAAATTTTTGTTTTGGGAAAAGGGGTCTGCCTTTGGAGAAAACTTTTTTTTAAAACCACTTACCTAAAGATTACATAAAGCCCTTTACAGTCTGGTCCCCATCTACCTCTCCAGCCTCATCACTGTGCTTCTCACATTCCTTATGATCCAGCCACTCAACACTTCCCATAATACGTCTTTTTTGTGTTTTCATTATTTTGTATAAATTGTTTTCAATGCTTGGAATGCCTTTCTGTTTACCCAATGGATTCATTCAAGGCTCAGCTCAGGCACCTTGTAGTAGTTGAGTGTAGACTTCAGCTAGACTGTGCAGGGTTCTATCCTTCCATCATTTCCTAGCTGTGTAATCCTGGACAAATGACAACTCTCTTGTCTCACCTGTTTTCTCATTTTTCAAATGATGGCATTAGTTCTTACCTATCTCAAAGAGGTAAGGATTATATGAATTATTACATGTGAAGAATTTGAAGTACATGCTAGCTATTGTTAATCCTCTTATGAAATTTCCCCCTTGTTTCCCAGTCGGGTAATTACACCTGCTTCGTTAATACAATACATTGATTTTAAGGCTTTCACATTTTAACAGATCAGGATGCATCAGAAAATCAAGTGTCTTAGATTTTATGAAATATGTTCATTTTATCTGGTGTCCTTCCCGGACTGTAAAGTGTTTGTGGGTAGGAACCCCTCCCCCGCCCCATTTCTCACCTCTGGCCAGCACAGAGCTCATGCCTGGCACATAGTAAGGAGGCACTTAGAAATATTTGTTGAATGAATAGATGATGGTGATCAAAGGCAAAGTTTACAATTGTAGGAGTGAAGTGTACCCTTGGAAAGTAATCAGGTGCCATAAATGACCTTTGGCAAATAGTTAGGAAGCCATTTTCAGAAAGAAGAATTAGCTCCCTCAGACCTTGATTCCTACTTTAATTATGGTATAGCAAAAGGAGACACTCATCAAGAGGGTTTTTTCATAGAATGATTGTGGAAAACTAAAATCAAGTCTGAAACAAACCCAGTACAGTGATGAAAATCACCGGGGAGAAAATTTTACAACTCTAGTACTAGTCAGAAAACCAATCCAGACAATTCCCATTTATGGCACCACCATCCTAGTTAGCCTTGCCAGAACTCTCAAGATCCTCTTTGACTTCTTACCTCTCTGCCCCAGTCATTCAATGGTCAAATGTATCCTGCATTTGTTCTTGCATCCTTCCTTTTATTCCCACTACCATTTTTGCCTCTTACCTACAGTAGCTTCCTAATTAGCCCCCTGCCTCTTAGTCTCAAGCCCATTTTACACACTGCCACCAGTACTTTTTCTAAAAGTAGAGGGACAATCATATTACTCCCTTGATTAAATACCTTTAATGATGCAACTGACCAAAGTCCAAACTGAATAAAGTCCAAACTCCCTTGTTTGGATTTCAAAATCCAATGTGATCTGCCTCAACCTGTCTTTACAGTTCAACTTACCTTTCAGCTTTTCACCTTTCACATGTAGCCAAGTTACTAATTATATTTTGGATATGTTGGGCTAAATAAAATATATTAAAATTACCTTCATCTATTTCTCTACATTTTTAATGTGGCTATTAGAAAATTTTAAGTTATATATGTGGCTTGCATTTTGAACAGCACTGGTCCCGATCTTGGCTGTATTTCAATACCTAGCTCATATAACCTCTTCTTCCATGAAAGGTTCTCTTGATTTAACCCATGGCTAAAAAATAATCCCATTACCCCATAGCACTCTTATCTGCACCTCTCTTAAATCACATGCTACATTACTATTATTAATGTAATGTCTGAGTATAAGCTATTAAGGATAGTATTTGTGCCAGTGCCCTTTCATTAGATTGTGAACCAATAAAAAAAAGCAATGGGAGGGGGCAAGGATAGTACACGTATGCACAGTTTGAAAACATTCAATATTATAACAAAAAAAACCCCTACTGTTTTCATAATACAAGCTACAGAAAGCTTGACAAAATCTTGAGTGAAGTGAAGCCATTTTCGACAGAAGACATGTTCTTAAGGATGTATCAAAAGCTCTGTGAAAGCATGAGATTTTTAAGTTACTCAAAGGAACATGTGATTCAAAAGACATAAATACTGCTCTGAAAGGCACCACACTGTAGTCTCATAGTGCCCAGCAGCACTTAAGTCAGGATTTAACTGATGTGAACTCTGAGCCTGAGTGTCAGAAATAAATAAAACATACTCCCTATCCTCTCAAAGCTCACAATGTGGGAGAGACACACATTGTTTATTCACTTAATATTTATAGCCTACTGTTCTATAAAGGGATTAAAACAGGCTCACACTTGGACTGGCCGAGTGGCACGTTGGTTAAGAGTTGGCTTGGGACGCCAGCACTGAGCAGCAGGGCCCTGGTTCGGATCCCACATGAGGGCCAGTGACGCTGCGCCCTCTACAGCTGGGATGGTGAACAACAGCTCGACCTGAAGCTGGGTTGTGGTGAGTGAGTCATCGGCGATGGTGTAGTCTGCAGCCCCTGCTGCAGTGGGCCGCTATAAGCGGCCATCCAATGGCCAGCTACTGACTGCCTCACCCAGGAAGAGCGCAATGATCACAATACCAACACAGGCCAGTGAAGCGACGTCCTCCACAACTAGACTGAAGAACAAAAGGACAGCAACTTGTCTGTTCCCCTTCCCTGATTCCCCAACACTGTTCCCCTCCCCCAATTCCCCAATAAAATCTTAAAAAAAAAAAAAAGCTGGCTCACAATCAGAAATAACTTGAATACAAGTGAAATGGTGACAAATGCACAAAAAAGGAAAATGAAGAATAGAGATTTATAGATTGCATCCCAGTTTTAAGTCTGGAAAACTTCCAGGCAGAGATCAGATAGGTGAAGATCAGTATGGGGGTAGGGGAGAGAATGAATGCATTCACTGAGCCTCATTCCCTGCTGCTCTCTATAAGCCCAGGTGTGAGTCACTTAAAATTCAAAATTGTGCCATGAAAAGAGCACTGACATTGGGGGTTGCTCAGACCAGGGTTCAAATTACTCTGGCTCACTGAGCTTCAGTTTCCTCCTCCTATAAAAAAAAATAATAACGTGGAGGATTAATGAGAGGATCAAATGAGATAATTGGTGTAAATGTGTAAACTAAGAGTACAGATAATTTTTAGCCCCTAGTACAACCTGAATGAATGAAATGAAGAACGGAGTAAAGAAGTGAGTGAATGGCTCCCCAAAATAAGTTTTTCTTCCTAAGCACGACGGTGTCTATCCTTCAGCCCTAAAGATAATTTGACTCCGGTCACTTTTTCCTTACCCAGGCTACAAGACCGCACTTCCTTTCATGCCCAATGAGCCTACCCTGTACTGCTGCACTTCCTCGTCTCGTTTTTGCTTCACAAGTGTGAGCTGGTCCTCCAGGTTCCTGTTTTGCAGGTGGAGCTGCCGGGCCTCTGCTTGCAGGGGTCTCAGAGCCTCCTTCATCTCCTGGATCTCGGCCTGGGTTTTCTGTAGAGCTTTAGCTGCGGCTTCTTTCCTCTCTAGGAGTCGCAGCAGCTGGGGCTCATACTCTTCCTCCAGGCCCTGGCGGCTCTCTGCCATGAGGTTCTCAAACTGAGCAGAAAGCCGCCGGCTCTCCTGCAGGAAGTGTCCGTCCCTCTGGCTTGGAGGCGCTTCTAGTTGTTGCCGTAACTGCTCCTTGTGCTTCTGATAGGCATCCCGGATCTGGGCTACTTCCTCCGAGAGCTGGGCTGCCCGAGCAGTCAGCACTTCCCTGAAATCAGCAAATTGGGCCACGTCCTGCCGGCGGCACTCCAGCTGATATTGGTAGGCCACACATTCCTTCGTCACCTTGAACAGCTTCTGCTTGACCAGCCGGATCTCCTCCCTTAGCCCGTCCCTCTCCAGCTCTGCCTGGGCATGCAGTTTGTAGGCAGCTTGGATGTCCTGATGGACTTGTTGCACCTCCTGTAGAGCTGGTTCCCTGAGCAACACAAGCTCATGGATGAGCTGATCCCTCTCCTCTTCCAGCTGGGCCACAGCTTGGACACATTCCTGAAAACGCCCCTCAAGCAATTCCAGGTCTTCTATGCTCAGGCTCTCCTCTGTGCTGGGACTAGGAGCAGCTCTGAGGCTCTCCTCAGGGTTAGGTTTCTCCTCGCTCATGACCATCTCTCCCCCACAAACCACCTGCTCTGGGCTTGTGGTCTCCTCCGGCGTCACAGCCTCCTCCACGTGCCGCATCTCCTCCGGTGTCACAGCCTCCTCCACGTGCCGCGTCTCCTCCGGCGTCACAGCCTCCTCCACGTGCCGCGTCTCCTCAGGCGTCACAGCCTCCTCCACGTGCCGCGTCTCCTCTGGCGTCACAGCCTCCTCCACGTGCCTCGTCTCCTCTGGCGTCACAGCCTCCTCCACGTACAGGGTCTTATCTGGCTGCCCTGTCTCCTCAATATACAGCATCTCCTCGGGATTCTCAGTCTCTTCCACATACAGTGTGTCATCAAAACCACCTGGGTCCCCCAGAAAGAGAATGTCCTCTACGTTCCAGGTCCCCTCCAAAGACAGAGTGGTTTCTGGATTCAAGGTCCCCGCCTCATCCAGGGATTCAGAGTGCTCCTCCTCTTGAGCAGGAGAACTGGCCTCTGCTCTTGTTTTCCTGAAAGAGAAATGCCTTAACGTGAGAGGGCAGACACAATCCCAGAATGGTTCATGACTGGAGCCATTAGGCCACAAAGGCCTAGATTATATCAGGTTCTCACACCACAAAGGGCACTTGTCTGCGCCTTTCCCTCCATTGATCTATTCCCACACAGCCCATTGCTTAGATCCCCTGACAACATCCCCATGATGTCAATGTCTAGTTTCTGCTTACATACCATCAAGGACAGGAAACTCACACCGAAGCCACCACTATTTGTTCCATTATCATAAGAAAATTCTAGTGCTGAGGTAAAACCTTCCCTGCAATTTTTACCAGGACTTGATTCTTCTTTCTCTTCCATATAAAATCTTTAAACACTTAAAGAGAACTAAGTTATCTTTCTATTACTCCATGCATGCCAAGGTTTCTAGTGCTCTCTTAATTTGGGGCACTTCTCTCTGCTCAGGCTCCAAACTGTCACTGTCCCTTGGGGATGGGTACTGGAAGCAATATCCAGGTGTGCTCTGAGCAGTGAATCTCTGACACTGTACTCCTATTGATGCATCTAAGATTCCGTTAGCATATAGGGCAGCTCCACCATTTTCTTGACAAATGCTGAGTTTGATGAAAATCCTTAAGGCTTTTTCACCCCAAGTGCTTTTAAATCACATTTCTTGTTCCTGTAAAACTTATTCATCTTGTTAGAATTGGCCCATTCCTTCTAACCTGTACAGGCTTTTGAGTTAAGATTCTGTGATTCTAACAGATGAGCCCCTTAACCCAGCTGCCCATCGCCCGCTAGCTTAATCAGTTCCTGTTAAGGAATACCCCCCTGCTTCTTTGGCCCACAAGTGGCCTTGGTCTTTCCTGTTTCAACCACAACTTATCTACCTTGGATCTCTGAGTAATTCTTTGAAAATATAAAATACCATGGAAATAATAATAATTATTATGTTTACAAATGTCTTATATGTGCCAGGCCCTGTTCTAATAGCTTTACGTATATCAACTCTTAATAATTCTATGCGGTAGTTACATTTATTATCCACATTTTACCGATCAAAAACTGAGGTTAAAAGAGGTTAAATAATTCACTCAAGGAAACTCCTATTCAATATGCATCAGCTATAAAACAGGCTAAATTTGAGTAGATTTCAAGAAACATTTTTAGATATAAAGTATAAATGAAAAGCCCCACGTAGCAAAGAATTTTATTGATCTGTCTTGAAAAGGCCTACTTGTGTCTAGGTTTTAAACTCTATATCTTAACTCCAAGTTTTCGATAAAGATTATTTGTACATGAAATCATTGTAATACTCTGTCCTCCCCTCTAACATCCCAGGAATCCCTGCCTTCCCTTTCTGTTTTCTCATGTTGGCCCTCTGGAAACTACAAAAGTATGGCTCCACCAGACCCCAGGCATCACTGGTCTTATTCAACTCAGCACCCGCTTTAAAACCTAAAGTTTGAAGACAACCTCAACAGTCACTGAGTCCATTCACATCACTTTATCAGAGAGGAAGAGTTTCTTAGATATCTTCACCAGGTGTTGCTTCATACTCAAACTCAACTGACCCCTAATTATTCTTCTCCCTGAGCTTACTGCACCTGTATTGTCCATCTCAGAGAAACACATCACCGTACATCAAGCTGATGAGGCAAGAAATCTTTAAACAGCTGTTTCCCTCCCCTATAGAGCCAACTCAATGAGAACTGACCCTCCTATCTCCGAAAGTCTCCAATCCCCACCCACTCTTCATCCACTGCCAGGGCCCTAGTCCAAGTCATCAGCTCTCACCTGCACTTTTGTACCAGCCTTCCAATGGGCCTTCTTCCTTCTCCCCATCTCATTCTATGCTCTACAGTGCCACAGCTTGCTATAACATAAAGCAAACCATGTTGCTCACGTCACCCACAGATAGCCACTGCTTAGCAGAGATTCAAGGTCTTTGAAGAGGTGGCCCCAACATACCTTTGCAGCCTCATCTCACATTACTCCCCCACAACCCACCCAATGCTTGACAATCCGGAACAGACTGTATCTTAACTCCAGGTTCCCAACAAACTCCTAGGCTACAATGTCTAAAGGATCCAGCTGAGAAAATACAGCTCATTGTACACCACCTGACTAGAGACAGTCCTGGACAGGTAGAGCTCCTAGTGCCAGGAAGGATGCGCCTGCTCAGCCAGCCAGACCCACTCTGGTCCTCAACAGAGTTCCTGCTTGCCCAGCAGACAGCCCTCCCATCATGCTCCTGCTGGGTCCTCCACCCTGGAATGATGTAACTGTTCAAGGCAGTATTCTAAGCATTTTACATTAATATTCGTTTATAGGATGCTCATTTCTTATCCCCATTTTATAGATAAGGAAACCAAAGCACAAAATAAATAACTCACTTGAGGTTCCACTCCAGAGCCAGAGCTCCTTTTGACCACTTTCCTCTTAGAATAGGCATGAGGTCTAAAAGAGGTAAAACGAAGGCAGGTATACTAGAGCCTTCAAAATGTATTTACTCACATATCTACTTACCTAACGAATTTCTGCTCATCCTTTAAGCCCTGCTAAAGTCCATCTCCTCTGTGAAGTATTTCCCAGACAACCCCCATTCTTGCGTTCTCAAGGCACTTCGTATGTAGTTCCTCTTTGCACTTAGTGCTTTGTTTTATAGAAGTGCCATGTGTCTGTCTCCCCTGATAGTTTCTTAAGGACAAGTACAGTTCTTATTCTCTCTGTATCCCAGGGTGGGGGCTGTGTAGAAGGAAGGCAGGCAGAAACTGACTGAGATCCAAGGAAGAAACTTGCCCAAGGTTGAATGGCAAAACTGGAAGCATCCTGACTTCTAGGTGGTACTGTTACCACACAACCCTGTTGCCTCAGTCACCCCACCCACAATGCCAGGCCTCTGCTAGATGCTGTCCTCATACAGTTCCCTCTCTCTAAGGAGCTGGGGGAAAGAAGGGAGGCCCAGGGACAAGGAAGCCAGCTCAGCTGGGATCCCTGACCTCAGGCTTCCTTGGGCACCAAGTAGCCTGACTCTGCCATTCTGTCCCTGTCCCTAGAGGACTCCAGCAGCTCCCAACTCTATCCATCAAGGCTATAGCTGGGATTGTCTGTGACACTGTGCAGGCATGACTTGGTGTGTGTCTGACTCTGTATACCCGTATGTGTATATGGCAGTACAGGTGAGTGTATGGGTAAGACTATGCTCAGGTTTGTGTCCTGTGTGACAGTGAAGGGGTGCCCGGTGTGTGTATTGGCACTTCCACCTCTTGGTATACTGGGGAAGTCCAGGACTACAGTCTGACCTGGGGCAGAAATACTCCCTGCTAGCCTCAGGTCCCTCAGCCACAGGTCCCTCACCTCTAATCAGTGGTAAGCCAAGAATGTGGATGGATGTGGGAGGGCCTCCCTCCAGGGCCACTGGCCAGCCAAGGCCCTCCTGCTGATCTAGGATAGTAGACCCTGCCACCACCACCCCTCCCAGGCCCCAGGCAGCAGAAAACAAGCTGCCTGAACAGACTCTTAACTCCAAGCTGGCAGATGCCCAACCTTGCACCAAGTATCTTCCACACAGCAATTCAGCAACTAGAGGCGTCCATCTCCAGTTGCATTTAGGGTGAGGATTGAAAGAAACAAGTGGAGTCTTTGGCCACTATGGGCCAAATGGCATTTGATGACTGATGGCCACTGGTCTGAAAGGGTTAATTCTCACACGGCCGTGAGAGGGGAGGGGGTATTATAAAAATCCACAGACAAACGGAGGTGCCAGATCCCTGAGCCAGGACTCCCCCACTCCCTTCACCGGGTGGCTCCGCCCCTTGCTGCACCCCAGCTGGACCACTACACCCACCAAAGGTGCTGACGCGTGGGGGAAGGGAATCCGTCCAGCACCCCCTTCCCACAGGGGCCAGCCACGCGGGCCCTGGACTGTCCTACCTCGCGGCCTGGGCGGTGCCGTTCCCGCCACGCCGGGGCTCCGGGCTGGCCATGGTTGCGCGACCCCGAGCTGGGTGGCCGCGTTATTAATAGGCGGCCCCGCCGGCCGTCAGCTCCGCGCCCGCCGCACTGCCAGCTGCAGCAGACACCGGATCCCGGCCCCCGGCAGGCGCGCCCACTTGGCCGGGGCTCCTGCCCGCGGGAGGAGGGAGCCGGCCGCGCCGCCCGGGGGCGGAGAGAGGCCGCCCCTCCCGGGACCAACCTGGGGGTGGGGGGTGGGGGATGGTTATCGGCGTCTCCAAAACTAGCCAGCCCCGAGATCTTCCCGAACCTTCTTTCTCTCCACCCTTCCCTTAAGGGTCCCAGTTCCTGGGGGCAGGAGAGGAGGGCGGCTCTGCAGCCCCAGAAGAGCACTTTCCCTGCTTGGCTGGCCGGGGAGAGGGGGCAGGGTTTGGGGGGAGGACTTAGAGGAACCCAGCACGCCCGTTTGGGAATGTCGGCACCTTGCGGTCCTCACCCGCGCAGGGGGGAGGCGCGCGGCCCCGCAGCTGTTGTGAAGGGCTGAGGGAGGAGGGTTAACGCCACGCCCCGTGTGTTTGGGGACATTAAGGAGCCTGAGAGCCTGTGGCCGGGGTTAAGGAAGGACTGCCTGGGAGGGGTTTAAACCTATAAGGTTAAGTCCGTATTTAACTCCGCGTCCAGCCCCTGCGCTGCGAGGTTTCCTGGGGTCTCTCCCCTTGCTCGACCTGTCACCCCACCCAGACCTGCTTCTATCCATTCCAACGCATGCCTCCTCCCCCAAGTCCCCAGGCCACCAGTGTCAGTATCAGACTTCAACACTGAAGTCTTTCTCCCCAAGCGGGAAGCTGCCTGGCCCCTTCCTAGAGGCCTCAGGCATTCTGGTTTCTGATGCTGTTTTTCCACTTAGCCCCTCTGTCTGGAGAGGTCTTTGACTCAATCGCAGAAGAATGCTGTGCACTCTAAGTAGCTGAGGAGCTGGATGTGTGTTTAATTAGAGAGGTCTTGAGGTGGGGTGGGGGTGGGGTAATGGCGCGGCTGTGCTGAATGTGTGTGGGCTGTGTGTTGTATCAATGTGCCCACTGCTGGCTGTATGAACACCACCTGGCTGTGTGTGTGGTGTATGGAAGGGGAGATTGTGTGCCCATGTGTGACTCTGTGATGATTGTGGGGTACTTGTCTGTGTGCGGGCATGTGGATGTGTGATTGTAAAATCCTGCGGGGAGTGGTTATGTAGGTAATGGTCATGCTGGTTGTGGAGTGTAGCCGCTGTGACTGTGTTTGTCGGGTGAGTGTATGGTCCTGTGTGTGATTGTGTATCTGAGTGACTAGGGGCTGATGCCTGTGAATGTGGGTGGGTGCTCACAAACAGATGTGGAGTGTCCTCTGTGTGTGAGTGGGGCCTGCATCCGTGGTCATTAATCTGAGTATCTCTGTGTGCCGACTATGGCTGTGTATTTTTATCTCTCTGCCTAATGCAAGGGGGTGGGAGATTAACACCCAGGGCAGCCAAATACACCCTTGTAAGGTATGCATGAGAAAAAGTCGGGTTTTGGAGGCTGCTAGTCATTTTCTGACTTACCCCTGAAATATTCCAGGGGAGGAGGTTGGCAAAGCCTCAGCTGCTGGTCATTTGACAGCTGCTGCCAGTCAGAGGGGAGCTGAGGGAGTGAGGGTAAGGCCTGCCAGTGGCACTGTTTGCTGTTGGTGCTAGGCAACAGGCAGCAAGGTGGCATAAAGAAGTGTCATCCCTTTCCCTCCAAACCCCTACCCTAGGAGCTGGCCCTGGGCAGTCCCCAAGACTGAATTCCTTAATGGCTCCTAGCCTCCCCTCGAAGCCCTTCTTTAGGCCAAAACACTGAATCTCCCAGAGTCCCAGAAATAACTCCATCTCCAGACCGTTGTTCTTGCTGTTCCCTCTGCCTAGAACACCCTTACCAGCTCTTCACAGCACACTTTCTACTCTTCTTTAGGTCTCAGTTTACATGTCATATCCTCAGAAAGACCTTCCCTGATGTGTCCTCCCCCCCGCACCCGCATGAATGTCTATTCATTTACTGTTTATCCCATCACCTTGTTTATTTTCTGTACAGCACTTATTACAATCTACTATATTGTTTCTTTTCAATGCCTTCCTTCTCTGCTTCTCCCACTAGAATGGAGGCCCCATGAGGGAAGGGATTTTTTGTGTCTTATTTACTGCTACGTCCCCAGGGCCCAGCACAGAGTTTGGCACATAATAGAATCTCAAAAAAATTGTTGAATGAAGGAAGGAAAGGATGGTCCTACCTAGGCCAATTCAGGCGACATTTCATGCCTTCTGTGTGCCAGACTGGGGCCACTCACCACCAAAGAGCCCCAGTGTTCTCAGGGAAATAGACATACATTGCGTATACCAAGGCTGTGAGGTAGCGAGGCTATAGGAAAACATTGCCTCTTGGTTTGGGCCAAGCGCTGTGTCAGAGCAAATGGCTTTATTTGGCCCAATCCCCTGCCTGCAAAGAGCTCTCACAGGGTAGAGAATGCAAGCTAGAACTGTCTCCTGGGGAGACAAACCCATGCAGAGAATAATGCCAAATCACTGAGCTGATTGATGTGCTAGGCACTGAGAACCAGGGAGGCCATGGATGGGAGAGACTCCAGGATTGGCGACAGCCTTTCAGACAAAGTAACCTGGGCCTCGAAGGTTAAGAAAGGGTGTTCTGGCATCAGGCACTACTTTAAAAGATAAACACAGCCACCGTCTCTCAGCCCCTCCACAAAGCAGAGTCCAGGAAGAGCAGAGAAGCCCTGGGCTAGCTACTCTTGACCTAACTTCCATTCTCCAAGCTTCTCTGCCCTGCTGTGTGTCCCGGGGCTGACTCCTGCTGACAGTTTCACCTGGGCCCCCTTGCTTTATGGTTTCAGGTGGAATTTGGCCATAGGAGACACTGGCAGGAGATCAGAGGGAAGGAGGAGAGTGAGATCAGGATATTCATAATATGATTGTGGCACCTCCACCAAAAGCTGCAGTTCCTGTAGGTTGCCCTGCTCCCATGAGTACAGCTCTCTCCAAGTTCATTAACAAGGCTCCCTCCCTTTGCCTTTTCAGACCTGGGGGTAGTGACTCCATCCCATCCGCTGTTGTAGGCCCTAGGGTGCTTCACCATTCCTGCCCTCACCTTTGAATAGTCCCTTCATTAAACCCTCTTCTGGCAAACACTTTGAGTGTTTCCCTATTCCTTGCTGAGACGCCCTAAGGTAAGAACTACACCCAGGGAAGATGAGCCTCTTAGCAGAGAATGTGGGGAGACACACTTTCTAAATCACCACCTAAAACCATAATCAGAAAAGTTGTGAACAGATCAAAATCCCATCCTGGGTGAACAGTGACATCCTGGCCACCACTCCAGGCAGGGTCCCAACCCAAGAAGTCCCTCTTGGCTCATCTTACTCAGGCCTATAGTTACCCTGACCAGGAGAACAGGGTAGGGAGGGGCTATGAGACTGGGGAGGAATGGGGGGATGACTGGCCGAGGGTGAGCTTGGAAGTAGAGAGGCACCAAAGGGCAGAAGAGGGGGCCGAACCCAGGCAGCAGTATCCACCCTACCCCAGAACGTGCCCTATATGACCTTGAGAAGCCAACCTCCTTGAACCTCAGTTCCCAGTTTGTTAAATGGGCAATTAATACTCTCTTCAGAGGACTGTTGTGAAAAACAATCAAATGTGAGGCTTGACACATGAGCCAGTGGAAGTGAACTTGCTCTGAAAGCTGAGTATAGCACATTCCCCATTATTACTGGTACAGATGGAGGCCATTCTGCCGAATTTCTGTGTCCCAAGAGCTCCAGCCAACCACCCAGAGGTGGGAGGCAGATGGTGAGAGATGCCCCACCAGGCCCTCCACTCCAGCTCGCTGCTTCAAGGGAGCAAGGGTTCAAATTCAAGCTTTGGAGGCAGCAGGCACAAGCCTAAAACCGGCTTCTGCACTTACTGTGACCTTAGGAAAGTCATTCTACTTCACAGAGATTGTTTTATTCTCTGTAAAATCAGGTAACACTTTTCACCTCATGGGTTTGCTGAGAGGATGAACTGAGAACACAAAAGGCATTTATTAATAGTTAAATACCTGATACATTGTGAGTGCCCAAGAAATATTAGCCTTTTTTTTTAAAGATTTTATTGGGGAATTGGGGGAGGGAACAGCGTTGGGGAATCGGGGAAGGGGAACAGACAAGTTGGTGTCCTTTGTTCTTCAGTCTAGTTGTGGAGGATGTCATTTCACTGGCCCGTGTTGGTATTACCATTGCACTCTTCCCGGCTGAGGCAGTTGCTGGCCGGCCCTTGGACAGCCGCTCACAGGGGCTCATGGCAGCTTATGCTGGCTGCCAGCCATGCACAGTAGCTTATGGAAGCCCACTACAGACCCACTGCAGCCTACGCCGTTGCTGGCGACTCACGGCAGCCCGGTTCCAGGTGGAGCTGTTGTTCACCATCTTAGCTGTAGAGGATGCAGCATCACTGGCCCTCATGTGGGATCGGAACCGGGCCCTGCTGCTCAGAGCTGGCACTCCCAAGCTAACGCTTAACCAATGCACCACTCAGCAGGCCCTAACCATTATTTTTTAAACTCCATTTTTCCCTCTTCTCTCCCTGAAACTACAACTACGAACTGATTTACTGCAGTATGTCCATCCATCCATCCATCCATCAACCCACCCATCCATTCTTTGGAGCATTCATTCATTCATTTAAACATTTATTAAGGCAGGCCATGTGTTAGATCCGAGGAACACAGAGACTAGGAAATCATTAAAGCAAGAACAATATCTGTTCTGATAGTAGCTATTTTCTTAAGCACTTGCTACATGCCTAGTGCTCAGTTAAGCATTTTATCTGCATTATTGCAATGAATCCTCAGAACAGACCTATAAAATAAGGCCTATAATGAAGCTCATTTACTGATGGTAAAACTGAGGCTCAAAGAGGTTAAGTAATTTAGTTGGCCAAAGTCACACAACCAGGAAATGGTGACACTCAAATTCAGTACACTGCCTCCACTAGTGACTGAACTGTTTTGTTCTGTTTTTGGATGCTTTTTTTTTTTTTTTTTTTTTAGCTGAGCCATCCTGCTACCTATTGGCAGCTTAGCGGCTACTCAGCTCGGGCTGGCCTCGAACCGCTGTTGCTCAGAGCTCAAACTCTTGAGCGAGCTCTTAACCAACTGAGCCATTCGGCCGGCCCTGTTTTGTTCTGTTTTTTATCATCGTCATTGTCCTTTTTGGTCTGGTGGCCTTTTTCCCCTTGGACTCCCCTGGGCATAGCTGCAGACTTGGGCAGAGTTGGGTTCATATCCAGTTCTGCATCTCTAGGCAAGTTACCTAACCTTCCTGAACCTCAGTTTCCACTTCTAGGAAATGAGGTTGGTTGGATGTCAAATGACAAAATGTGTACAGGAAACGCCCAGCACCTTGTCCAACATACAAGAGTTGCTTGATAAGCG